ATTTATACATGCTGGCTTAATAGAAAAATTTTTGGGCGGTCGAATTACAAATTATCGGAAATTCATATGTAACGGTCAGGTAATTGCTCCAGGCGGTCGAATACTGGAAAGTCGAATTATCGGAGTCGAATTAACGGCAGTTGACTGTACTGAGAACAGTCAAATGCTGAATTTCTATCAAAGTATATAGTACTATTACTATGGTACTATTAAAGGACATGACATAAAAGTATGCTCCATCTGACAAAAATATTGCAAAAAGTTTGCACAATGGTTGTTGTTGAGTGAGAACATGAAGGTAGTCCACTAGCTGTCTCTCTTTATTAGAGAAGCCAGTACTTCTCTTTTGTACCTTTAACTCCAGAATCATTTTAACTAGCATGGGAATACAGGCATTATCTGCAACATCTTCCATCTTAAAAACACTGAGGTCTGGCATTAGTCCATTGAGATACCCTACATCATGTGTGTCTTTGGTGACAAAATCACCCCATCTTGAGCCAAATTGAGACATCAAATTGTTGAGCCATCTTTGAACTGCTGGTTCTGTTTAATGAGGTTGTTGCATAATTGGATTATTAGGGAGTTCACTAAGGTAGGAATTAGTCTCAACAAGATAATATTCCTGATCAACATTTTTAAAGATAGTGTTTTTGTAAACATTGGCATGCATCACAGAGCCTGGAGTGTGTGAAATATGATATTAGTGAAAGAAAAAATGGAACACCTTGCATTTTGACAATCAGTACCTCCTGTCTCATGTTCTCCTAATACTAAAACAGGTCTGCAATTCCTTGCTTGCTCAATTTGAATCAGCAAACCTATTTGTTTCATGTTTTCTTTTATTTGTTCTGAATTTTCTTTCATAGATTTCAGAATATCTGAAAATAAACTAGAGAATGGTGTGCTTGTATCACTAGTGCCTCCTGACAAGTTCTAGAACAATCTCCTGTGAGTATAACATCAAAATTACAAAAAAAACCCCCCCAGCTGCCTGAGATCAAGTGTAAGGTTCTCCATGGAAGTAGGTTGATGAGTGGCTATCAGAATAAAGAAAAGAGCTCACGTTCGCTCGCATTAATTAAATCTATTACAGACTCACTTACCAGCACCGGGTTGCTCTATGATAACACGAATGTGTTTTTTTGGGCGGGTTTGATGATAAGAAGCAGGAAAGAAAGAAAAGCACAAATACAAATTAGTCAACGTTGAAAGCAGTATACCAAATACAATGACAGTGAGGGAATTTGATGTGTGGCATGAGCAGTAAGCAAGATAATCAATTACCAGTAGGGGCCTCAACGATTACATGGATGCACTTGTCAACTTGTAACAATAAAACCATATCACTAATTCTACTCTACCCTATGTACACAATACTCTATGTCCCCAACGCAAAAACGCCCGAGTCACAAACGCCCGAGTCACAAACGCCCGAGTCACAAAGACGTGTTTGGCAGCCCGGTGCTTGCACTCCACGCAAGCTCGTCCACATTCATCAGGATCGCATTCACGGCAGCCAAATGCGTCAATGGTGCATTCGCGACGAAAGTTGCTGTCACAATCCTTCATTGGGGGAAGCAAAATTTTTGTGCCACAATAAAAAGACGTGGTGACCTAATATATATAGTGGCTTAATCAATGACGTAAATCGGGAACTTTCTAGACCTTTTCACAATGTAACTACAGTCAAACCTCGTTATACCGATACCCGTTATACTCGATAAATGCCGCCCCCAAAATTTAGATAGAAAATTTCCCTGTTATACCGATAAATTATAATAAACCCCGCTATAACCTTTGTACCGATACATCACTATTAAATCTCACCCCGCTCCGATAATTGTGTAATATATACTAAATTGGGAATAATGTCAAGCATTCTGGTTGGTTGATCTTTCTGTTCTTGGTGTGAATGTTGAAAAATTCTTTCTGCAAAATGTCACAGCTTAATATTAACGCAAAACGGGAAATAGTAAGCCTTTAGCAAAGGGACAACGAGTTATATTAACTCACTCTATTTCAAAGAAAAGCAAACATCTATTGATAATTTTATTCGCAGCTGTTAGTCTATACAAGTAAACAATAAAGCTTGACACCTTCCTGATAATCGATATTTCGCGTACCACTCATATACCATCGATAGAAAAGAAAAAGTTCCGATCTACCGATACCCCGCTTTACTGATAAATTTTTGGCGGAACGAAAATATCGGTATAACGAGGTTTGACTGTATTGATGCAGAATGTGACCAATGATAATCGTGTCGGGTTAATTCCTGATTATAATTATTATTATCGGGCTTATCTGTCTGCTCTAGCAGAGCAGTCTGTTGCGTATAAAGGTGCTCTCTTGTTGCATAAAGGGAGGCGAGCATATCTTTTCCCTCAACTAGCCCGATTTCTCTTTTGATTTCTTCAATGTCATCTTCAAGTTTTTCGATCTTCTTGTTCACCTCCTCGATGGTTGTCATGGTTGATTCTGCAAAAGATGTGCTGCGCGATGTGATAATACAATACTAACGCGTATTATTAGAAACTTTCTAGATCTTTTCACAATGTAACTATTGTTTCCCTGTATGGAATGTGACCAATGATAATCAATTATCATGCTTAGTGTGCCATTAGGACCTTTGCCGATAATTACGTCTTTATCGACAACGTAATTAATTTGTTCGCTTACTGCTTTATTTTGAATACCAAATAAATACACTTTACGTGGACTAAGGTAATAAACTTTACTTACCTGTTGATCAGAATGGGGTACATGGACGTTCTGTGCTCAACCGTAACTGTAATGAGCAATAGCATCAACGCTACAATAATCAACTTTCTCTGTTGTTCAGCTAATTTCGTATTTTTGTGATAATATTTTCTCTCTACTTTAGTAAGTCTCTTGCTTCCTCCTCCTTACGAGCATTATACTGTAAACCATTCCGAAATCTTGGATTCATGATTTGAATCTAAGGCGTTAATTTGTGCCATAACTTGCGGAACGCGTCATATTTTAACAATTTCAACGTGCTATCATTTTCAAGACCTGCAATAAAATCACGATAGACCGATTTGTAACTCGTTTCGGCCGGCAAAAGTGTAAGCGATTGAGTAATTCGGTTGCTACCAGGACTTGGTGATCCATGGATTTCAGCATAGTTTTTGAGAAAATTTTTCACAGCGGTAGCAACAGTTGTACCAATGGTTATTTTAGTTTTCCATCGCGGCACTCTTTTTACAATACCATGAACGCGCGGTATTATACTATTCGTCGCCAAGTGATTTCTGACGTTTTCGAAGTGGGTGCGACCAATTCCTAACATATTGAGATACGTTTTCTGGCAAAGAGGAGTATTACGATCTCAGTAGTAAAAAGTTCACTTATTAGTTTAAGACGTCGGCTGGCAGTTATCTCCCCACCATTCATCGCTTTCAGCTGGGCCATTAAAAATATGTCTTGTTCGGATCTAGAGAGAGCTTGAAACGCCTCACGTAACTCGGCAAAATTATCTCTCGGAATCATTTTTGAGCAACCACAATTGCAACCAATCTCCAAGAAAAGCATTGCTTTTTCAAATTCAGTAGAACCATTATTATAATTTTCCATATACGGGTAATCCTATATATACATTTTATCATTTTATAATTTTATGATTAATTAATAAAACATTAGATTTTGGTTACAGTCAATATATAAAACAAGCCAGTTAAACCTTTCTTCTTGAAATGTAGAATTTTGTCTATAAAAAACCAAGCTTTATTCATTTGATCTAATGAGTGAATGTCATGTGTCTTATTAAAGCCCAAGAGCATGCTATGATTTTGTGCTTTACAAAATGAAGATATCTGACCATTCCATTCCTTTTCACTCCTGTCAGTAGTTTCACATTTCTCTCAGATATCACCATATTAACACTTCTCAAATGTGTCTTTATGACATCACCCATAGTAATACAAGAGAGAAATTTCACCACTGGACTTTTCTCAAATAGATAGATGAATAAGATGAAACCTTGGGTCAATAAAATCATGTGTTACAATGCAGTATTGGCACAATTTTGCCAAAATTATTTGCCA